ATGTACTTAGACTAATACTCAACGTACTAGCTAAGTCATGGCTTTCAAGAGAACGTCTTACRGCGATCATCATAATTTATAAGTRTTACTAWCAARTTAYGTTATAAGYAAARTTATAAKTWTGCAMCAACAATRCAACTTAGTAATTTTCACATGCTAAAGCTTTTAAGTACTTAGCAAAAATATAAATCACGCAGCAARGAACCTCACTTGTAATTTAATTAAACACGRAACAAGCATCACCGAGACTCACTTTTGACTTAACGAATGATTGCGGTTCTGCCAAAGGTTTCTACGGGCGTTTGCCTTAGACTTTTATGAACGATTTTGCCTTAGCCTTTGAACTGGAATCTGTTCCAAAGGTTCGCGAATTAACCAAGGCAAGACTTAGAGTTTTCGCATGGAAAATTAGATYGGAACGCCCACGGATCATACCTAGTTTAGAACAGAACCTGRTGCAYACCCTCTCTAGATCTTTTGGAGCTTAGCCGAAGTTGAACCTACGAATTTGAGATCGGTCGAACCATCGGATCAAGAAACTAAGATTAGATTCATGATCCGCACGAAAAATCACTTTGAAAATGGTAAGGTTCGATCACGGGAAACTTACCCTAAGTTTTCCCAAACCTGCTCGACAAGACTCGCGGCGAAACTACTCTATGGTTCGCGGTGGACTAGAAAATGGACTACTCGGTTGGGATGGACTGATCGGATGGGACGATCACGAACTAGGCTACCGTTTGCAATGAAAGTTTGCGGTGAAAATAAGTTATGTTCGGACAAGGCAGAACTTCTCGTGTCCCCTGCTTACTAGGTCGGGCCGACCTTTAAATAGACGCGCCCAAGCAGGTGAAGCAGCTGGACAGCTCACGGCCACTTGCTCATTCTTCACCCGCGGGTAACGTCCTAGGCTCGACACGAGGTGGTGATGATGCCTAAGACCAGGCGTGTGCGCAACACGCACTGGCGTGTGGTCGACACACTCGGGCACGACCCATGCACGGACTTACCCACGATCTACCCACGACCAGAGCAAGCATCCTGCTCGGTCACCAACCAGCCTAGCACGCTGCTTACCTTGGCTTCTGCTGGGTCATTGTGCGGGTCATTACAACAGTGGCCGGTAAAGTGATGAAACATTATCATTCTTTTCTCCATTAACTCAAGTACGTTTTTGTTTCTTTCCCATGTCGATTTTTTTTTTTAATTTCTCTCTTTCAAAACGTTTTTTATATATATATTTTCAACTCCGAAATTTCAACATTTCATTTTACTGTTGATTTTCGGGATGATTTTAATGTTTTATTTAGTTTGTCTAATTCATTTTTCTTTGATTTATAAAGAAAACCAAGACTTTAAAGTATATTATCATCTACAAAATTGTTGTTTTGTTTGTCTAATTTGTGTGATTCTTTTTTTGGTAAGGTCTAATATGTGTGATTCTTATACCCCTGCTTGTCAAATAGTTTTATAATCTTATTTATCTGATCTAATTAAAATCACTTTTCTCTTTCATTGTGATCTCTCTCTCTTGATATTGGATTTAGGTTTTGGGGC